GGCCTTACCGCACCTGCGAGCTCGCAGGTGCTAGGAAAACGGTTGCAGGTGCGGGCTAGGCCAAGGAGGCCTGGATTCGTAGGTGCAGGCGATCTCCTGCAGGTGCGTGTGCGCAGATGCGGACCGGCTCCGCAGAAGCGAAAGCGCAGGCGCGTATTCTTCTCCACAGAAGCGGACTTGGCCAAGCTGGGCGAGGACCGCACCTGTGATGGATTTTTCCGCAGGTGCGGCGTCGCAGGTGCGCCCCAATGTCCGCAGAAGCAAAAATCACTGGGGCAGTGAGGTTCATTTAATGTCGGGACTTAGGCATTTGTGCTCATTTTCATTCATTTGTTGGGCGATTTTAGAGATCTTTGAAGAGGGATTTTCACCTAGCACTTTGAGGTAAGTAATTTCTGAACAATATGAGTTTAATACATGCATTTTGGGTAGATTCTTAACATATATATTGGAGAAATTATGGGTTTAGTTGAAAAACCTAGGTTTTGATAAAAATGGAATTTAACCACGAAAATGATTATGAAATTGGGTGAAAATTTTATATTTGAGTTTGTGAAGTTATGGGTAACATTTATCTTCAAATATTTTCGAAATCTGGGCACGTGGGCCCAGGGGTGAATTTTAGGAATCTTTCAATTTGGGTTGGGTAATTACTCTAATAGTTAAATTATGGACTTGTGAGTGTATATTGATTAATTTATATAATATTTGGCTAGTTTCGGGTTGTTTGGCACCAAGTTGAGGATTTAGAGCGGATTTGTGGACCGGAAGTGAGTTTGAGAGCGAGGTAAGTCTCTTGCCTAACCTTGAAAGAGGAAACTCATCCTCTTAGGTGTATCTTGTTGTGTATTACTTGTGTAAGGAGTTACGTACGTACTAGGTGACGAAAGTCCGCGCATAGCTATATTTCATGAGATGTCTGGGTAGTCTTAGATCCACATCATGTTTTAATTGTACTGTTATATTTATTATGCATATTAATTGTCTTGAATGAAGCTGAGACTAAGAATTTTAAAGTTGCAAATTTTCAAATTAGATTTCTTATTTTTGGGAAGAATTGAGGAATACATAATAATTCTGAGAAATCCATCTTCTCTCGTGTCGCAAGTACTTCCGCGAGTGAGGTAAACTTCTCTACTCTCATGGGAGCGGGTCGTTCGTCTCGGCAGTATAATAGATGCATCTATTATTCATGCCGTTTAACCCTCGGCAGTGCACACAGTATTTTGGATCGGGCCATACGACCTCAGCATAAATCATGCGTGATAATACTCGGAGCCCGATTACACTTGATATTATTTTATGGCTTGAGAGGTTATAATTTATTTAATGACCAAAATTGATTTGGAACTAGTAAGTGTTAGTTGGAGACTTTGGAATTTACTATCAGTTAAAGAATTATTTTTTTTGTTTGCTATTGTGTTATTATTATTATACACATATTCCATACCTATTTAGAATTTATGTATTTTATTTGCTGGTCCATAGTAAGTGTCGATGTCGACCCCTCGTCACTACTTCTTCGAGGTTAGACTGGATACTTACTGGGTACATGTTGTTTATGTACTCACGCTACACTTCTGCACTAATCGTGCTGGATCTGAGGTAAGGGCATCTGGTGTCCATTCAGGCGCGCACCCCTGTTATCCTGAGGCATAGTGGTGAGTTGCTCTCTGAGTCCGTTCTGCGGCACCCGTAGTCTCTTTTTTGTATTTACTTTCTGTCTATCCTATTTCAGACAGTATCATAGGTGTTTTATATATTCTACTAGTTGCTCATACACTTGTGACACCGGGTCTTGGGAACATGCTAGTAGACACTTTATGGATTTTGGGTATTTAATTCATCGTATATGCTCTTTTATTAGTTTACATCTTACTTTATTAAATTTTTCACCTCTCATTTACTTAATAAATAAAAATCAACTACTTTGAAATTATTAAAAAGAATAAATACATGGCTAGTTCACCGTTGGCTTACCTAGCGACGACGTTGGGCGTCATCACGGCCTATAGGGGAGATTGGGTCGTGACAGTTTATGTCAGCATTTGGTACACTCGTTCCAACTCTTATTAACTTTTGCATTTATTTTTGTTATACTTGTATTAATATTTATTTTTATTTTTATTATTAATTAATAGATATGGCTCCTAAAACTAGTAAAAAAAATGTGGTTAAAAAATTGACTAAGAGAAATTCTAGCTCTAGCTACTCCTACTCATGTTGACAACTTTACTCACGTAGATGAAACACCCGGATATCATGATGTTAATGTTAATTATTAACCACTATATCACAAAATACTACAACCACAGTATGATAATTTTGATATTTTTAGTGAGGAAGAAGAGAACTCAGATGAAACACCTACTAGTCCTGCTCCTGCAGCTCCAACTCAGAGTCAGAGGATGAGCTAGGATTTGAAATTTGTGGGTTCTGAACTTGACACCGAACCCATAATATATTTTAGTTACTGGATTCGTAATTATATATTAATACAAACTTACTAAAATTTTTAATACAAATACAGAGTCTATGCAAAAGCCAGTGGGTTCGGTCGAACCCGTATAGGATACCCTACCTCCGCCCCTGCTCAGAGTCAATATCAGTTTGCAGCTGATGTTCCGTTACCTCTCACTAGAGAACCAGTTGAACTTAAAAAAAGATCAATTTATTGGCAATGGTTTATGCAGGATAAGGCTAATCAAAAGACTATTTGTAAACTTTGTAAACAATGATTATCTTTTAAAAATAAATCTAGTCACGGCAGAATGGGAGGTTTAATGAAGCATATGTAACTTCATCACAAAGATGTTTGGCTTGCTAGGGAGGGGGTCCCCATTCTGAAACATACTCAGTCTGGGAACAATTCTCATACTATACAACCACAAATTAACCCTGTGACAGGAGGTCTTCTCCATTATGACCAAAAAAGGATAGGAAAAATATAGCAAAAATGGTTACTGTAGAGGGTTTGCTTTTTAGTTTTCTGTCATCTGACGGGTTTGTTCATTACATACAAGAAACCTATAATCCTGCTTTTCAAGGTTTTCCTAGAACAACTGCTAGAAGTGATGTTTTTAAATTTTAATGCGAATATCAATAATACTTATGGTATTTATTTTTTCACTTAGATTGTAGAGTATCTATTACTTCTGACATAGGTCGTAGTGTAAATGGTTATGATTACTTAATAGTTACATATCATTGGATAGATAACAACTAGGCTATGCAAAAGTGCATTATTGGTTATAAATTTGTTGATGACCGACAGACTGGTATTTTTATTTCTAAACAAATTAAAAAAATTTATAATTTTTATGGACTTTCTAACAAAATTATTACTATTACTTTAGATAATGCTTCTAGTAATACTTCTGCTATTGGAGTTTTGAAAACTAGATTAACTTCACCTTTTGCAGATTTATTTCATATTAGATGTGCATGTCATATTTATAACTTAGTTGTTCAAGATGGACTTACTTTATTTGACACTACTCTTGACAAAATTAGATTTGCAGTTGGTTTTATTTTTTGCTCTCAAATACCTGCTAGACGTGGAGAATTTAAGATGCATTGTGAATCTTGTGAATTACCCTTTAGAAAAATTCCTAAAGAAGTTGCAACTAGATGGAATTCAATATATGATATGTTGTCTGTTGCTTATGAATATCGATTGCCTATTACCAATATGTTTATTGCCCATGTTTAATCTGCTCATGATATGATAATAGATAATGATTGGAATACCGCTTTTCATCTTATTTATTTTTTAGAATTTTTTTTCTATGCTACTGAATAATTTTATGGGGTATATTATCCAACTATTTTTAGCATGTTAATTTATATAGCTTGAATTTTGATGTTATTTTTGAGTATAAACAAAAAGAAAATTATAAAGATGCTATTAAAATAATAGTTGAAAAATCTAAAAAATATTTTTTTTTTCTATTCCTATTATTTATATTATTGCTGTTGTTTTACATCCTCAAATCAAAGTTATTGGTGCAAAGGTACTTATTGAAATAATTTACTTTAATTTAAAAATAGAACCAACTCAAAGACCATCTCTTCCTACTTGTTTGGCTAGTATTCAACAAAATGCTAAAGTTATGTATGACTATTGCCAAAGACAAATGAACTCTGTTGCACCAACTAGTGGTGCCTCTTTTTCTTCTTCATCATCTCAACCTCTTAAAAAGACTACTGCAAATAGACCTTTCGGTGCTATTCATCAAATGATTAGGCAATCACAATCTTCACAAATTAACAAGCTTGATGTTTATTTACTTGAAGGAATTATTGATATTTGCGATTATGAAGGGAATAAAGACTTGCTAAAATATTGGAGAATGAACGAACAAACATTTTCGATTCTTTCAAGAATGGCCCGAGGTGTGCTAACTATTCAAGCTTCATCAGTAGCTTCCGAAAGCACTTTAAGTGCAACACGATTTCAACTTGGAGACCACAAACACTCATTGGTAGAAGACACCTTGGAGACTACCGTTTTTATTTAGAGATTGGATTAAAGCGGAGAGAAAAAATTTTGGCCTTCCACAAATAATTCCAGAAGACGACGATGCATATAATGAAATACTATCTACCGGAGATGGTGGGGGAGCAGACGGACATGTGCTACCAATTCCAAGCGAAGAACCACGAAAAATTATTAAACAATTGCGTAAATCGTTCAAAAGAAATATCTAATTTTATTTTTACAAGTGTAAAAATACAAATAAATACTTGTAACTTGTATTAGAAATTTAATATTTATATTGAATAAAATAAAATAAAAGGCACTTCATAGCCTTGATTTTTTTTCATCCATTAAAGTTGTTTGTATTTAAATAATTTTTTTTATTTTTAATTTAAAATTATCCCTAATTATCGGTACCGCACCTTAAGTACCACACCCTTATGATCGGTAAAGGTATTGGTAGGATACCAATAAAAGTACCCTTATCCCGTATCCTTAAATTCACTTAAGAGAAGTACCCTTAAGGAACACTTCGCTAGTTCTCTTACCCTTAACCTCCCCTTAACCCTTAAGAATCCAGTGCCCTCCCCTTAGACAGCCCTTCCAGGTATGTTGCTAATGGCTTGCTTTGCTGTTGTTATCTATGGTATCTGGATTGAAAGGAACACTCGGGTATATCAAAACAAAGCTACAAGTAGAGAAACAATATAGCATAATTTGAAGACTATTATATGCATCTGGGTTAGGAGGAATAGAAAATTATCTGATTTTGTTTGTTCTTTACAGGTTATTTTGTAAACAAGGCTGATCGTGTCATAGTATATGTTCTGAGAAGGGTTTAAACTGGTTGTTTGCCCTTGGTTTTGCATAGTTACTTGATAACTAATAAAAAAAAATTAATTGCAAAAATAATTTTATAGTCAATATTTTAGTTAATTTATTTTTTATAAACTTAAACATTTAAAAAATATTAATGATTAGTTTGTCCAGCGTGGACGTCAAATAGTGTGGGCTTGCCATTATTTTGGATTGATAATTAAAAAATAGCTAGCTTTTATAACGTAATTGAAAAATAGTCACTATTTAATATTGAGATAAAATCTGAATAAAAATACTCTAATTAGCTAAAATACGAAAAATTTCAGCATACTATGCTGGATTTTGAAACGTTTACGTACAAAACTCTAACAGTTAGGAGTTTAAAAATACCCTTTATGTATATTCCAACATATTGTATAATTGCATAGCATAAATATTTTTACACAATCGGTATACCAATTTAAAACAAAATTGGTTAAACATCAAACATGTGTAATTATTTCAATATCCAAGTATAATATATGTAAGTTTTTCTTTGAAGCATACTGTAAAAGTTTGTCATTAAAACTTCTAAATACTATAAATAAGAACTTAAACCATTGCAGATTAACGGTTATTCACTATTTAGCTGATATTAATATTACTTACTCTAATGTTTTGAATGAATGTAGGTCATTGATGATGTGATTTGGGGGAGTTGAGATCAACCACTGCTAATAGGGAACAAAATAGGGTCACCGATTCTCTTATATTAGAAGCGACAGTTGACCAGCCTATTTCATCAACACGTCACTCCATGTGTTTTGCTCATGTTAAAACACTAGGATTCTCCGAAACCAGCCTGTTTTATCAACACATCTGCTTCACACTCTATTTGTTTTGCTCCTGTGAAAACACTAGGATTCTCCGAAAAATCCCACCGATTCTTGACTCCTCTATCGTTCCGCTATTGTTACAATTAGTATTCGTAGAAGTTCCTCCTATATTTACCTACAATTAGACTAGACGTGCTAGGAGCTACTTTTGCTAGGAATATTTTTATAAATATTTCTAATGACTTCAGCTACTGTTATTGCAAGACTCTATGGTACAAGTGACCTAGCTCCAATGTAATGATCCTGTTTAATTAATAAGTACTACTATTTTCGTTTCAATTTATGCGAACCTATTTTCTTTTTAATCCGTGCAAAAAAAAATGACCTCTTTCCTTATTTGGTAAAAGCCACACAAAATATATGTGACTCATTTTACACCACAAGTTCTAAAGTCTTTTCTCTTTTCTTAAACTCCGTACCCAGTTAAATGGGTTCATAAATTTTAAAATCTTTTGTCTTTTCTTAAACTCTGTGCCTAATTAAATGGATTCACATAAATAAAAACGGAGGGACTACATATTAAGTATCTTTCTTATAAAAAAAAAAAATACTGTAAAAGATTTTGTATCAATAGAAAGAAATATTTATTCATTATTTCCAATACTGGCCCCGTTTCGGATACAACAAAACTTGAAATAAGTATTTGCATTGGATGAGGCTCCCTCTACTTTTTTAACTTGTTCAACATCCCTACTGTCACCAATTGTTGTTAGCTCCGCCTCTGCTCCACACTTCACTCTCATCTCTCACCTTTCTTCACTCGGCCAATCTTCACGCTTAAATTCCTCAAACCC